TGATGCATAGACGTCTTGCCAATGCCAACCTAAGTCCTACGTTAAACACTAAATATATCTGATTTTACAAGAAATGTTAAAACTCAGCGAATTTGATTGGGAATGATTTTAGTTTAGTGTACTCGATTTTATTGACATGCACAGTTTCAACGAAACTTGAGGAGTTGTTTCAAAACTATGAAATAAGATGATGATTTTGATGTAGAATAAAAAATTGTCGAAATGCAAGTGTGCATTGGTGCTGTGTTGGTTTTGATTTACAAAGCTGAAAAATCACTTAGTGAAACGGCAAAGCAGAGCTTTCTCACCATGTGTTGCATAAATATAACACGTAACTTCTGTTCTGTCCGTGGGTTTGGCTGTCACGTATATATTCACGTTACATTACGAGTTAAGTGCGCAAATTTCATTAAAACGTTAATTATGCGATCGCTGCGATGTCATTTATCAATGACAGGTATGTATTATAGCGAAGTCAACACAGGTGCTAGCGACGTACTGATTGCATGGACTCGGGTAACGGTGGGCGGACTAGGTTCTAATCGAAAACTAGGTTGGGAAACTTTGGAGCATCCATGTGTGAAGCTTGGTATCACATGCATTTTACGTTCATGTCTTATTCGTTGACTCCCTAATTAAGTACTGACTCGTTAAGCCGCACTTTCCCGCAGGTGGCGTAATAAACAACCATTTTGCACGGGCGACATTACTTCCTAAATTAGCTGCTGTTTCCAAGGAATAAATCACCAAGTAGCAGCAGCTACTTTCGCAGACGCGCTTTATAGTTGCCATATATTCCAGCTTAGTTGCCAACAACGTCACTTTGCTCAAATAAATTGTCTGTGTGTGTGTGTGTGTGTGCGTGCGTGGGTGCGTGCGTGCGTGCGTGCGTGCATGTAAGATAGAGAAGGGGGAGAGATTGGTGGGGAAATCGAGAAGAGGGAGAGAGAATCATTCTAGGTTTGTGTGCAAAGCAAGAGTAGCAATTCTGATGCATTCGCCCTCAGGGGTTTCTGAGGAAGCACCATTATAGCGTTCGTTACGTTGTTATATTATATTGCATATATAGTACGTCGCTAATATGCAGAACGTTACCGGAGCTCGATCCCCGCATTTAGATTTGCAATGAAAGTTACTTCAATGTGGTGTTATATCAGGTTCATATGCTAGCGGCCGCACGTGCTAGGGGAACTGTAACTACATTCGCATGGATTACAGAAATTTGCAGAAATGTGACTTGCCATGATTAATGTCTTCACACGTGAATCTGCTATGGGCAAACCCTAAAACAGCTAGCATGACATATGCCATAGCACACTGTGCGTGAAGTGTGATTCTGAGTATTGATTGTCAATGTTCAACTAGTTAGGGAAGCATGCTGAAGGCAAAGCTACTTACATCGCATGCTAAGCCCCTTCACAATTCAGCACGGATCTGGCAGGCCATCTGGACGAATACAGAGTACAGGTTGACAGCCCCAGCCAGAATTAGATGCACAGGGTGTCTCGAAAGTTCCTGCCGGACTCTCCCTTTTCTGTGCCCTTTACGGCTTTACCCCTCTCCCCCTTTCCTTTTTTTCTTTTCACCCTCTGCTAATTTTCCTTCGCACATCTTTACACAAGTCCTCTATTCTTTCTCTTTTTGCTCAATCTGTACAGCTTCATCTCTACACGTGAAATCAATCACAGGAGGGGACATTTTTAATTATGCAAAAACCGTGTTGGCTTCATACCCACGTGTTCGAAATGTTGCCCGGCGTTGTTATATCAGTGTTGATGACAGTGTGTTTATGCGCGCACGTGTGCGTGCGTCATGCGAGCGTGTGTGTACGTGCGTGCGTGTGTGTACGTGTATGTTGTGGGTGTGCGCGTGAGCGTGTGTTTCTATGAAACCTGTGCGGATAACTATAGTCAGGTTGGCGCATCCCTGCAAATAACCTGATACATCCCTGCTGTATCCCTGAAAAAATAGCTGGGTAGCTATGCCAACTTGGTTGGATTTTGCAGCATAACGGGATTTATAAAAGCTGTCATTGTATATTGTAAAGAGACGTAATTATAATAAAACGTAATATTATAAAGCTTTTACGCCCGACAAGAAATGGAGATTGTGAAAACGTTGTCATAGTGGCATAATGTAATGCCATTTTGGCAGAAACATATAAATTTCTATGCACAAAGTATGCTATATAATTATGCAAATTTGATGGGCGTGGTTACATAATAAATACGTACATCTGTGCATCAGTTAGAAATGCAAATATCGTACATTTCAATGTCCATAGTTGGTTATTGCGTGCTGTGAAAATTATGGGCTTTCAATGTGCTGCATGTACGCATTCATGGGCTTTGCAAGTTAAAGATAGGATTAGCCGTCTTATCGTTTAAGCAACTGAGACGTCGCCTGTTTATGGTCCCACCAAATCACATGAAAGTTTCACCAGAAACAATGCAGTTAAGTGTAATATAGTTACAATTGTTATTATTAAATGGTAGCGCATTTTGCTTGAATCTGATTGGCCCATATGGCATTTGGAGGTCCGTACCTCATGCCGAGTTGACGCGCGCGTGTCAAACGAGTACACCTCGCGTGAAGAAAGTTGGTGTGTGAGCGCTGGCTAATCGAGCTATACCGCTTCTATATCGAAGATTAGCAGCCAATCAGATAGCTATATTATAAAATAATATAAATATAATAAATATAAATATAAATATAAATATTATTATTATTTATTTGTTGTTATTTATTTAGTTAAATTGTTTATTTATGTATTATTGTTTATTTATTAAATGTATTATTAAATTATTGACTAACACATTCAATTTTTTTAAAATTTCTTTATTAACCATATAATAAAACGGTTATCGACCTGTGATGAGGTCGACACGTGACTATATACGGACCTGGTCAAGGATTAATTCACCGAGGCCGTTGATAATTGTATAATATTATTATGTTACAATATGTGTTACAATGTGTACAATATAGTTACAATATGTGTTAATATAGCACAATATAGTTATTGTGCTGTCGTGCATGTATAAACTTAGTAACAACTTCAGATAAATGTGTGCACCGTAACATGAACTATATGGTGCTTATAATGTCTGGTGTTTGTTGTGTCTCATTGATTTATTACTTATTTAAATGTATATGCATTACATATAATCATAACTAGTGCATGGCACGTAAGCAATATACACTATTAACTAATCGCATATCATACGCATTATAGAGATAGAGATAGATAGATGGGGAGAAAGAGAGAAAGATTTCAAATAATTTAAATGCTCCCTGTGATTCATATTGCATCGTTTGTCCTGTGCATTAGAGTGCATGTTTCGGTCCACTAAACGTGCAACTGTAACTCTGTACGAACTATGTGTGGCGCTACAGTCTCGCATTGGTACACGTTCTTGCAACGCTAATAATTAAGCTAAGGTTTGCAAAACTCGATTTCCTGTGTTGGAATAAACGCTGTCAGGCTGCTAAATGCATGGCTGGTTGTACATTATGTATTTCTGCAATTTGCACCATGCAAATGATAATAAATAAAATTGTCAACCATTAGCAACAAATAAAATTAATTGGTAAGCATTTGCAAGAAATAAAATGGATATACATTTGCAAAATAATGTTTAGTTGATTTTCTGTGCCAGGGTCTTGCGGTTTATGAGTGTATGTGGTCGGGTCTTTACTAGCAAGCTGTTTCAATCATCGGTGAACATTCTTATATAATTTTATTGGTGCATGTTCATTGATCTTTCGATATAGTCCATTATGTTCTTGCGGGCAAGCTTTGTGCTTTCCCATAATTGAAAGCTATATAGGCAACATGCTGCGTGCAATGAATGCTACACTCAATTCGTATAATATTTCCAATTATGGCGAACATTGAGTCTATGGTCATGATCATTCGGAAAGCAGCGATTTCACTGTTTACTGTTGCAGTTTTTAAGTGTATGTGAATGTGTGATACCTATTGTGAATGTCTAGCTGTTTGCTGTTGGATTTGCTCTTGCTTTGTAATTATTTACTGTGCTTTGCACTGTTTTTTTGTAAGCTGTTTCATGAAACGCCAGAATTCAAAGCTGTAATTATGAAAATTAGTGATCAGTATACAAAAATTCTACCAAGGATTTCAATGGCTTTGTGTACTTGTAGGTGGACCAGGGATATAATCAAAATGTTGTCTTTTCAGTTACGTTGTGCTGTAAAATGTTGTCAATTTATTTGGGCAATATAACATGTTCAATGTGTACAATTGTTCAATATGTACAATTCTATACACAATTGTACAAATGTGCCTGCTTATAACTATCGAAGAACACTAGCGTCTGTATGATCTGTGAGGAATGATGCATGTATTGATTAATATCCAAACCATTACAATGATCTGTCAATAGTGCAGATATCGAAAATGCTTTTAACACATCCGTGGATGATAATGTGTTGGCTTTTTAATATAAGCATCATGATTTTTTTGGAAATGTCATTTCAAACTGAAATGAATAAATTACTAAAAATAACTAAAATTAAACTAATAACTAATTACTAAAATTATTATTTGTTTATAATATTTATATTATTTATTAAATGTTTTTTGGCACGGTTGCATTCCTGGCAAAAATGTCCATAATAGCGTTTTTTTTTCTCCATTAAACATTTTATCTTCACGATCAGTTATTACATGGTAAGCAGTGGAATTATAAGTGATTCACCTTGTCCGTTGGGGGCTTCAGTGACCTTATACGCAATTCCACAATTTCGTCAAGTTATCACTCACTATATATGCATCTCGCGCGCATTTGCTCAAAAAGCATTTTTGACTCTATTTTTTAGAAATCATAAACAGAAAATGTTATTTTTTCCTTTGTTGAGAGAGGATTGTTAAACACATTCCATTGCTTTAGTACGTATTAAAAGCTTCGGTTTGTTTGCGCTTTTAATCTGTGAACTATTACTGAGCTATATGCTAACGTGATTTTTTTTTATTGCAGTTTATCCGTACGTATGTTGGATTGGTTCGACTACCACGGACATATGTGCATTGCTTTTGAGATTCTGGGCCTCAGCGTGTTTGACTTTCTGGTAAGTGCGTGCTTGATGCAAATTAACCCACCAATGAATAGCTAGTGAGAAGCGAAACGTAATCTCGTCTTCCAATTAGTGATGGTATGACCACTGGTCAGCATGTAGCAGAATGTAAAAGTCAGCATCATTACACGTCAAAGGTCCATTTATAAACTTCTTGAACTGACAGACTAAAAAATTCAGTAATTCTTACAAATACATACAAGTATATCAAGAGTACATAAGAATGTTTTTATGCACTTGATAATGACTTTGATAATGTATCGAACTCCAAATTACTTTTGGTAATGTATCAAACTCTAGAGCATGCATACTCGTATCACTGGCAACAATACGTGCAGAGAAACGAGTAGCACTTCTAAGGTTGGCATGATTGCGTAAGCAGACGTATAAAAAGAGCGCCACTTCTAGCCAGTGAAGGGGATTTACAAGATTAGTGATTGATCATAAAAATTTCCCAGCTAACCAGTACAAGCAATCGGTACGCGGCTTCGGAAGCCTTAATAAATTCCCTCAAGCGCAGGATAGGTTGGTTATTCTAGTTATCATGACCGAACAGCAGTGGCGTATTACGCCAACGTTTAATGCGGCTAGGCAAGCTGTCTGCATGTCTGTCACCATGGTGGCCACCCAGACCGAACCAATGGGAGCTCCGTGTGACCACCACGCATGCACGCATGAACGCACGCACACGTGCGCGGGAGCACACGAATGCACACAAACACGCACGCACGCATTTAAAAAAATCTATAACTAAAACTCGATTGCTTGAAGTCAGTTTGTGGCTGTGATGGTGACGGTTGTGACCATGACGAGGTTGAAGGTGCTTACGAGCTCGTTTGTGTCAGCTATGTGCGGTCGTGCCACGTTTCTTCATTACGTAGCGAGGCCTCTATTATGCCATTAATGTGGAGTATATTAGTATTGATTTTGCCGCGTGCAATATAAAGAACAGCAGTAATTAAAAAATCAATTAGAGTCTGGATGAATGTCCCACAACAACCGGAGTTGCGCGCGTGAAATTTTCAACGTAACAAGTAACGCAAAGTAACTGCATTAAGCTGCATGTTATATTAATATGATTGCATGGACGCAATTGAAGCGAGACGGTCTTATAGTACTTCATCACAAAGCACCTTTCTCCCTCGTAAAAATATAATTGAGCTGTAAAATCGTTGGCGGTAGTAACAGTGATGACAGACTGTATGTGACTCAATTGTTCAATGCGTGCGCGCCATCTGCAGATATACTAATATAGTGGTATGAAGTGGTACAAGCTGGTAAGGTACTATACTTTTCTCTACGAGAGCGAATTTATTCTGGCATGGTCTTATCTGGAAAGAATTTTTCTTGCGGCGTGGTATTTACTGTATATGACTTCAGTGGACCTAAGGCTAAATGATTGTACAGTATTATGATTAGTGTATGCCGTTAGGTGACACTGACTGCACCTGTGTTTGATTTTGCACCAATTTTAATCGCATGCCACAATGTGCAAATTTACTCAAGTCAGAGAGAGAGAGCTAGAGTCGCCCGCTCTACTTTATCACACTATTTTGTCACATGCATTTTTAATCGCATACATTTGCGTAGCGTTTGAACATTATATGTACTTTCGTGAGGACTGCATTTTACATGACGCCTGGGACCATGATTGAATGGTTCTCATGTTGTCATGCCAGGATGTTTTGCGTGATGCCTCTTATTGATTAAATCTACTCCAACGCGAATGAAATCTGTACAGAATCAGCACAAAATCACAATGCCTATTCCCATCTTAAGTCTGTTAAGAAACTTGTTAAGTAGCACAGATTGTGTTAGCATCTTAGATGCTGCAGTATAAAGGAATATTGCTACGTGAGCATTTGATAAAAGCTTCGCGTGCAATAAGGCTTGTTCATACTCCATGCACGTAATACGATAAATGTATTGGGCATTGTATTTTTTTTGGATGCTATTGCATTTGTAAGTTTCTATCAGGTCTAGTCAAATATTCAAATTAGTGCAAAAATAATGATTGATTGTCGGTTATGTATACGTAAAGACACGTGACAACTTTGCTGTTGCAGAAGGACAATGGTTACCAGCCGTATCCACTGGACCAAGTACGACACATAGCCTATCAGCTATGCCACTCTGTCAAATGTAAGTTTACTCAAATGTGCGTGTATGTGCGTGCGTGTGTGCGTGCGTGTGTGTGTTTGTGCGTGTCTATATGTGTGTGCAGGCATGTGTGAGTGGGTGCGTGTGCGCAGTGCCTGCATGTGTGTGCCTTATAAGGTGTACACATATTCAAAGTATTTTATATTTTAAAGAATATGTATTGTAGTTTTTAACAATAAAGCCTATTGTAAAATACAAAGATAAGCAACACATCTGCTGATTCGAAATGAAGCCAAGGTGTAGGTGTAGCTTGCAAGGTGTAGGTGGCGAATGTAATAATTAACACTTGCTGTAATTCGCACCATTTTTTATACTTTTAGACATTTAAGTAGTGATTCCTGCTGTAATTATGATACAGTAGAGATTATACTTAGTAGCTCATCTGTCATGCTTCATTATTGATGGTGACAGTAATGCTGTAATCCTTCATCCAGTGTGCTGTCATTAGCGTTTGTAATTTAAAGTCTATTTAACAGGAATTTTGAACTGCGCAGTGATAGCTGCCATTGAGTTGGCTTTTTCACACAGTGGTGTACGAGATGCATGAGCTCATATAAAAAATTAACTAGAGCCTACCGTGTGCACACGTGTTATATGCAGATATTTATACGTGGAAATGCGCCCACGAATTGCGACTGCAAATATGTTGTTCTGTTCCAGTGTTTCTGCATTTATTGTTATCGCAGGTCTCTGATACGATAGTAGTTCCAAAGAGTTCCACGAGAATCCAAAGCATAAAAGCACTCAGCTAATCACTTCTCTTGACTATTTCTTTGCTATGTGGACAATTTAAAATGAAATGCTATTTTGCATCACCTGGTTATAGACGTCAGCTATGACTCGACAAAGAAATACTTCCGTAGTTCATGGTGGAGCTGACACCTGGTTGATGGGAGGAGCCTAAAATATCTGCATGTTTCAACGTTTACACACATTGTTACTGGAGAAAGACAGGAATGAGTAACCAGATAAAAAAATAATATTCCAAATATTAACAGCAACAACAACAGACGACGAATCAGCAGCAGCAGTAACAACAACAAACAAACATTTTGCAGCACAGTTAATTAAGGTTGACACTGTTTTCTTATGCATAACTTTAAGATGCATAACTTTAAGAATGCATCAGTTTAAGATGCATAACTTTAAGATTACCCATCAAAAATACCGTAAACAATATAGTGACAGTAGATGTTGTGTAACTAAAACTGATCAGCACTTAATTGTATCAAAATATAATAATGAATAGTTTGTGTGAAACACTTTCTGAACTGAGATATTCTGCTAAAGGTTTTAATTTGAAACTTTATCGGTGGATTCAGTGAACGTTAATTATGCGATTTGCAGTATGTAAAGTTGTGTGGAAGTGACTGGAATGTATACACTGCTGGCCTCATGCAGTCTATGAAAGTCTAGGTGTTTGTGCATTTCAGATTCGATTTAACATTCACCTATCTGTGAACACATCGGGGATGTGGGGGGAGGGGGCATCTGGGTCTCGTTCTCACCCATCTACATTTTTTAAACATACATTCTCATTAACATAGGTAAACCAGATGGTGGTGAGATTGTATCATTATGACACCGTTACAAAGAGGCTCTTGTCATGCAATGCCATTTTATGCTCATACTAAATGCTAATGCCATGCTATGCAATGCTAATGCAATTTCATTGTCGGAAGAAGTATAGTCTTTTTGTCTACTTTGGCACAATAAATCGAGTTATATATTAACACATGCAAGCTGTATGAAAGGACAGTGTTTCATGGTACGTCTGGACGTGTTCTAATCGTTCCCTAGCGAGCGTGTCAATGCGAACGAACGGGCGCATGGTGACTGATGGCTGGCACGCGAACCCTAATTGATATTAGATTGGAAGCGAGGGGCGTCCATTTATTTTAGATGAAGTTGAAATTATTGTTGGCTGTGACGATATCGCACTCGCACCTAGCGCAGGGAATTGATGCAGCTGTCTCAGTGAACTTCGCACCTTGGCGGTTTATTAGACCCGACTTCGCGGTACATCTCAAAGCGAGGGCAGTAATGTGTTTGTTGTTCTCGTATCTTCTAATTAAGGCTAACCATAATTGCATAAAACAATCCAGTTGTTGTGTGCGCTATAAATTATTCTTTGTATGACGTGATTTGATGCATTGAAAAGCTGTGCAATGACCACATGCATGCAGACGTGATCGGTGTCCGTGCGTTGCGACAAGAAATCACGGCCGAAAACAACGGTTAATTAAGAACAGCTTGCACGAAGAATGGCCATTGTTCAGCTTCACCTTATATGGTCATGAAGGGAAAATAAGAGGACAGGGATGGGATGGGAGTTCTGACATGGAGCGACAGTGTTGTTTCCACTTTTGATTTCACAAAGGAATCGACATGCTCGATAGTTCCTTTTTGGTACGAAAAAACGAATTTTGATAGACACTGATATAGAGAAGCGAAGGCAGCTAATGGTTTCAACTGAGATAAGAAAAACTAAAGAGGGAGGAAAAATTGAGGGAGATCGAGAAACTGGATGAGCACATGAAAGGGAATCTTATCGAGAGAGAGCGAGAGAGAGAGAGAGAGAGAGAGAGAGAGAGAGAGAGAGAGAGAGAGGGCAGAAGACAGAGACAAGAGACCAGAGAGCAGAGACAGAGCAGAGACAGACGTCAGAGACATGCAGAGAGAGAGAGAGAGAGAGAGAGAGAGAGAGAGAGAGAGAGAGAGAGAGAGAGAGAGAGAGAGAGTGGACATATGTCAGTGACTAAAATGGAGAGACTCAGAGGGAGGCAAGCAAGAACGAAAGAAAGTGCGTTTCTTAACTGCGATATTCTTCTATAGAGCATTATATATAACGAGATCTCTGCTGTGTGCTGCATGTCAAACACAGGCACGCACGCACGCACGCCAGTGAATTCTTCTGATTCTTTAGCTCTCCAGCTGATCTATCACGCACGCTGTGGATTTTACATGCGAGTGAGGATGGCAGATCGTGCAGCGTCTGTCTGTGTGCGTGCATTCCTTCGTTTGTGTGCGCGCGCGAGCTCGTTCAAGAAATATAAGATTGTGCAACAATCCGCCTAAGCGCGTATATTCATCAACCATCCCTCTCTGACAAGTTTGACAAACGCGTGGCGCAGCTGCAACAGGCAAACCTACTTATCATGTTAACATGTTTGTCATGTAGACGGGAGAGAACTTCTACTCTAAACGGGATTTAAGTGGATACGCACGCCATATGGAGATAGCATGTACCATGGCTTCATGTATAATATCTGTCGGCTTAGTATTTTCTAGTAAGTCGTTGAATATGCAAGCTGAAGGTCATGCATTTTCTTTTCATACAGGGCCAGTTTCTGATTTCAATATTTATGTCTCATTACATGTGTTAAAGTAGTAGGATGGTTTATTTTTTGCTCTTCTCGTATTCGTCCTGTTTTTGACGGTTATAACTATTTATTAGAGAAACCACATATTTTTACACCCATTTCTTGGTCATTTGTGTGTTAACTTTGATATCATATCATCATTCCATGTTCAATTCAAATATCAAAATCCTGTCAATTTCAATCTAAAAATATCAACATCGCAGGTAAATTAATACTTTCTTTAAATTTTTTTTTAACCAAAAATCATGTATTATTGTAATGTATGATATAAATCAACAGGTGAATTTAAAATCGATACTATTATTAAACTAAAATTGTCCAAAAATTAAATTATTATAGCTGCAGCAATTTTTTCATTTCTGAGGTTGGCATCTACATACACGATGAATTTTGTGAAAGAATAATTATTTTAATTACCGGATCAGGTAACTTGGTGCAATTTGTATATATTCCAAGACTGAAACAACACAGTGTTTTTATTACAGTTATCTTCTCTTTCCATTTTTTATTGCTACTAGCTGGAACCCGCGCTAAGCGCGGGCTTAGTGACTGTGATGCATGTGGTACCGACTGTTCAATACCCAGAGAGATAAGAGAAGAGGTTGACCTTGACATTGACATCTGACTTCATTATTACATGCTTATTTCTAATTACATTATTGGGCTTACAAAAATCATAAAAATCATTATTGGGCTTACATGCAGCACAACGTTGACAGACGGCGAAATATTACAGCACAACGTTCACAGGCAGCGAAATATTAGCAAGGCAAAGATATAGCGCCCCCTATTTTCAGGCAAATCTTTACCTTTTTTTGTGTGTCTTTTTTAAGCCTTTTTTACCGTTTTCAACCGAGTATAGTTTAGAACCCGTCCCGTGTATTCATCGATCTCTTCTGTGAATTTGGCGCTATTTGGATCAAAACTGACGGAGCCTTTCATTAACATACATACATACATACAACATTCGCCAAATTATAGTAAGAGTTAGATACCTGTCACAAATTATACAGTGTACCAATACAGTACAGTTATTGGGAATTTACTTTTGCAATCGCACAGGATCTCGCATACCTAGACTTGTCTATAGAGACTGACTAGACCAGATGCCGAGAAAAAATTCCTGTGGAACAGGTGCGAGATTATTACACCTAGAGCTACCTATAGGCAGGATTGAAAACTAATTATGCAACAACAGTGGCAGTGTCTACCCGAACTGTAGAACAGTTTGTTTAAATAACCTAGGTTCTGCTTTGCACCGGAAATATGGTTTACGCAAGGTCTGTTCAACCTCAAAACAATAGTCTCAAATAACCTACATTATACTGCTGCGTTTTTTTTCTGCAACGTTTTAACGCATACAACACTGTATACTGTACTCACCACTGTAATAGCACTCCTGTATATGCAGCTGAAGTATAAACCTTTCAAAATGTGCCAAAATTTAAGGGCAGTTTAGTGCATATAACCTAATTACAAAATAATAAATCCAATAAAAATAAGTTATCCATATTAACTTGTGATTATATTAGCATGTCTCCGCTTTTGGGGCTGCGTTATTAGTTATTATTTGAGAATTTTCAGTACATTTTGAGTAGTGAATGATTCTAATTAGATTGATCTACAGACTACTGATGTTTGATACTCGTACTTCTAGAACTATATACATGCCATGCCTGCTTCTCTGCAGCCAACATTTTATGCATAGTAAATCCTAGTCACTAGTACTGTGATTTGTGGCTAGATGCAAAAGCAGGAATACATATGGGCTCTGGGAGTTTATACTAATATACCCAACATGCTATGATAGCAGAATCTTATCTTTTAAATAACTATTCTAAAACTGCTATTCCTTCACCGCATAGCTGATATGATTCATCCAAGAAGAAATTCTGAATCCAGTACAGTGACGCCTAGCTGGGAAGCAGACGAGGCCCATAGTTACTTATAGCCCCAGTTAAATAAAAAAGTGTGTACTTTCTAAGGTGATTGCTATCTTGAATATAGCATTTCTTTCATTTTATCATCTTTAAAAGGAGACCGTTTCTGTCTGTTTTACAGTTCTGCATGGCAACCAGCTTACCCATACGGACCTGAAGCCAGAGAATATCCTATTTGTTTCCTCCGAATACATGATTGAACAAATCCCCAAACGGGTGAGTAGTTCTCGCAGCAGACATAAACAGGTGAGTGACAATAAGGGCGTTGCTGCCCGTCTGCTTTTAGTTACTGCGAGTGAACACAGAACCTTGGATGCCGTAAACAAGTAACGGCTTTAGTTGATTTGTTACATGCACGCATACCATATTATATTCGTACTTTCTTTCTTTCTTTGTTTTTTTGCATGTACAGTATTTTGGGTTAACTTTCTGTTTGATAAGGTACCAGATATTTATATGCATTGTGATTGGGTTATTGAACTTTTTATAACATAGGGTTGGTAGAAAAGGCTATTGTGTAGCAGTTCCTCAATGTTTTGTTGTTTTGTTTCGTGTTAATATTGCTATTTATTTCAATTTCCAAAATTGTTGAATTTTTTATTACAATTATTATCATTACTATATTTATTATTTATATTATTATTATTATTGTTGTTGTTGTTGTTGTTGTTGTTGTTGTTGTGCGATTGCATGCACATAATATATGATCATGATGATACATTCTGATAGCATTTACTCCTTTTTGAATAATATAACGACTTTAAAAAAAATATTGTTACAGTAACAAGCATGCACCCCATATTGTGTAATACACATCCTTGCATTAACCCATGCATTTTATCCCTCTATTATATGCTTGTTTCATTGTTATCCTACGTAGAAAAAAGAATTCAAGCGGGTGCAAAACACAGAAATCCGTCTGATTGACTTTGGCTCAGCAACATTTGACCATGAGCATCATAGCACCATAGTATCAACGAGACACTACAGAGCGCCAGAGGTGATATTAGGTACATATCTGCACATTTATATATATCTGTAACATTATGTGCATATTGATATGTACATGTCTGTGATATTAGATAAATATTTATATTATGTATATGCAGCAGTGACATTATATGCAGATATGTATATATCTAATTTTTATTTTATTTTATTTCAACAGAACTAGGATGGTCACAACCATGCGATATATGGAGCATTGGTTGTATTATATTTGAACTTTACCTAGGTATCACCATGTTCCAGGTAAGTGTTCATTCCTTGTGGATAATAATATTATAGATTACTGCTTGAGTGCAAGATCAATAGTAATCTAGTACTTTAAAACCATGATTTACAAACAAACAAGTATATTACGGAAATAGCTACACCCAGGTTTTGTTGTAAGCCGACTTTATGAACTATTAACACTAACAGTTGTCGAATAGAATTAAAGCTGACATTCGTAATCAAAGCACATTACCCAATTAAGGGTAAGAATGTAGCCTAAAATGTCTGAAACTACTATTGTATACAGAGGTTATTGCGTGAGAAAAAATTTCCAGGCCTAAATATCTGGTTGTTAAGAGCGTATAATCATATCCTCGCCAACATTCCCAACATTGCGAAAACAGAAATCTACCTAAAGTTTCTATGCTATCGCACCATACACCATTTTTCGTGATGCACGGAATTTCCGGGATACGCAGAAAGTTGTGCCCCATCGTGTGTGCCGGCAATCATGGCGCTAATAAACGCTGATAACGTGTAATCATGTACTTTTTGCGGTTTTCGTGCAGACTCACGACAACCGCGAGCATTTAGCGATGATGGAGCGCATCTTGGGTCCACTGCCTTACCGACTCTGTCGGCGGTCGAAGACCAAGTACTTCTACCACGGCCGGCTGGAGTGGGATGAGCGCAGCCCCGCTGGTCGCTACGTCAAAGATAATTGCAAGCCCTTGAAGGTACTTATATTAGAAGCAGTCATGAAGTGTGGGAAGAAGTGATGATGGGCGTGAAGTCTGGATGCGTCAAGCAGCAACTAGTGATGCATCTAATGAGATGGCGATGTAATACTGTACACGACAATGGGTGCGAGCTATTGAAGCACCGGGGAGAAACTATGAGGGACCTAGAAAAATGGGGGTGGGGTGTGGTATACACGTGGTGTGTGTGACGGCTCTCCTGATTGCGCGTCTGCTTCCTTTCAGAGGTACGTCATCAGTGACGATGATGAGACGCGGGAACTGTTTGACCTCATCTCGCACATGCTCGACTACGACCCGTCAGTCCGCATCACACTCAAAGATGCGTTGAAGCATCCGTTCTTCGACCGACTGCCGATGGAACATAGGTTAGACACCGACCGTTCAAAAACCTACAGGCGCGAGCGCTCACATAGTCTGAGCCGATAGCATGTGCTCAAGCATCCAGAGCTAGTTTGTGTGTGAACGTAGCGCCATCCATCACGACCTTGTCTCGGAGTGAAAGGCCATTCAGGGGAAAAATGCAGCTCCAATGCTGGACCCTTACTGGAATATGTGCCAGTTGTCTAGTACTTGGCATTGTAGGGGGCAACAGAGCAGAAGTGGCTGTCATGCGGTTGCATTTGGTGCTAGTCTGCAGTAGGCAGCAGCGTCCAGTAGAATTTTGTTTGGGATGCTGCTGACACTGCTCAGTGTTAGACACACTGTATCATGTACATACGTTTTTAAGAGATAGTCATGCTCTGTGTCCACCTGCGTTTTACGCCATATTTGTTCGACACTTTTTTCGGTTCTGCATAGATATCCTCTAGAGTATGTTAGTCTAAGATACTCCTTATATTGTTCGCGAACATGATGGGACGGTCACCGAAGATGCAGGACGATTAGTTAGCGTGTGTTGGCATCGATAGATTGAATAATGCGTGTGACCTCTAATTCTATTTTCCCGCTCGTACACTCAGCACACCCTATCCATTCTGCCAGTGATGGCACACTCTTCACGCATCAGGGAAAGTGCTGCTTCTTCAACGACTGACATGTTTTTCTCACTTCTCCAGGGTGCCTCCTGGTAGAGCTGGCGCAGAGAAGTATAACTCATGCACGTTATTCAATCTAAGGTCGTCATCACCCGCACCCCATCCCATGCAAACAGCAGCACAGTACTACTGGTGACGAGTGGCCAAGGGCCTGCTGTCAACCACGCAAGCGCGAGTCAGCAGGAGCGGAGACCAAGTGAACATGTCTTTCCACAGTGTAGCCTGTGTGCTGAAGTCTCTCATTGTTATGCCTTTGCATTGCGAGTTGTCGCTAGTCGTAGTAGTTGGCGTTGTAAACACTGATGTGTTTCCGCTTTGGATTGCCTGGTTGGTTTTTCTTCTCCTTCTTCTTCCCCTTCTTTTTTTCTGTTGATCTGCTCCCCTAGTTCTTGCTTAACCTAGGTTTCACTATACAAATTAGCACAGCATACAATAATTTCTGCAAAATGAAACTAACAATTGACTCAGTTTTAGTAATGCTATAAATTCTTTTATTTTAGAAAAAGTAGATCAAGTTATATGTATCGAGTCCTTTTTTGGAAAGAAATAGTGAGAAACACGTGCACTAACCTGAGTATAATTTCAATGCAGAAATTGCAATCTCAATCATAAATCGTCTGACCAACACAACTTAAAGTAATGAATAAACTTTCTTTACTTCAACCGGAGGTGAATAAGCTATTAATGTTGCGTTCTGTACAGTGTTCAAAGGTAAAACGACATTTGTTAAGCTGAACACCCTCGTCTCGACTATTGCACCCCTTTGAACTTGGAACTAATTCGCATTGTATGTCTCCTGTGCAAACGCAATCATTGGTGGCTGTATAATGCGAGGACAGACCATGTTTCGCTGCTAGGATATGTTCTCGCGAAGCCTATACGTGACAGAACATGCTAGTTTGAGTGAGTAGGCAATAAAGTTACTAGCATAGACTGTGATCGTTACAGTTGGGGATTTAGCTTGGCCACAAATATTCTCCACATCAGGGCAAGCCATGTAATATTTATTTGAACAATTAGTACAACTAATATTTTATGGAAATTAAATATCTATTATACATAGTTTCCTTTCTAAAATCTCTTACGTTTGACCCGGATGTAAATGTTTTATCGTACATTATTTGAACTACCTTTTACTGCTCTTATTATTAATTCATTAATTCATTCGGGCATTCAAAAGATTTTTTATAGAATAGTTATTTATAACAGTATAATAGTGTATTTTTGTTCGATTAACATATAACACTATAATTTCTCTATGAGAATTGTTTTGTGTAATGCTAAGTTAAAATCTAATCAGGATCATCAACCGTCTTGAACAAGTGGAAGTAGTGTACTGGGGCTAATCTCCCTTTCTTTTTATCTCCTGCAGTCTGTATTATATTTGGAAACTAGGCTATTGGTACTTGGGTAGCAGTCACGGATATATCCTCTCTCGTACTCTAAATTGCTCGCCACACAAACTTGTAATAAAACGTTATATTTTATCGTGAGATCTTTAGGACGTGGAAGGAGTCTAGAATTTCAATGTCAAATCTTTTACAGTTATTTTATGTACGTATAACGTTTGTGAAGTGGCGTTAGAAAACCATTTTCATTGTTTACCTGTACTTGTGCTTTAAACCTAATCAGTTCCCATGTTCTGTAAGTCTTATGTCGGCTTGGCAGAAAATTGCTATACTCCTATTTTTACTGATCTATGTCTCGTATCCTTTGACCTACTCGAAATGTCATTTCGTCAATTAGGACTTTTATGACTTATGATGTTTATTTTCAGGCAATGAAGGTGTACCCTTTTCTTCCTTTGGCTGATCAGACTGTGACTTTATATGATAGATGCACTCAATCTGCTGTAATTTACCAGTATTATGTTACTCTGTGTATGTTTGATTGGCTCAAATATGTTGCAATTTTCCTTGTATGCCATTTTTGTTACTGGTAAACAAAAAATGACGTGCGTAGAATTTACACGTGAAACTTGGGTTCACTTGCACTTGTATAGCCTGGTAGGATAGTACCTTTTATAACCAGTGTCCATAAAAGTAATTAGCGCCAAAGACGTGTTAAAGTATGTTTGCCAGGTAGACATGCCTGACTCTGCTTTACTTCCAAGTATCCCTTAACATTGTTCTAGCAATTCGCTGCTAACAACACAGTGGGGAAGAATGTAACCATGAATAGACGAGATCTTGAGCATCTAAGAGTCGAATAACATCAACCTCGTTGATTTAACTTTAGCTAGTTTAACACGTAACACGGTGTTCGTCTTCAATATACCACTAATGTGGCACCCGTGAATGATGACAGAGTTGTGTGCACGAGTCCGATTGTGCATAGGTCTGCCACCGGTACATGCATCATATTTTGAAAGCATGCGCGTGTGTGGTATAAGTGGATGCGTGTGTATGCGTGCGTGCGTGCGTAATAGAGTTGTAGTTCTTCTATATCACATATATGTATAGGTAAATGCTGGTCTGCAACAGACTGATTTGCAGTGTTATATTTTGTAAATAATAATAATGAGCTCACGACGCTATACAATGTAAGTATTGAAGTTATGTATTTAGTGTGTGTGCGTGAGAGACAGAGCACGCGAGAGAGAACGTGATTTTTATGGCTAGGTAGGAAAATTTGTAAGTGCATGACCACAAAGCAGAATGCTTTTGTTGAAATTAACAACTTGCAATATTCTGAGGCACACGTAGTGGCTAGTTGTACCTCTGATTGCTATGAGTGCAGCTGCGGAGAATGTGTGTATTTCAGGCTTCATTCCACGAGCGGCGTTTGCAGAGTTCTGTGGCGATATGACAGTACATGTGGCGTAGCTGGAGAGTGTATCAAAATCTGCAGCACTGACGACTTTTGCTTTGTAGTGGCCTCGTGTAAGCAGTTATGTACTATTTTACAGCCAATTAGGTGCAACAGATAACATACACTTGTATATTAGCAGGAGAGTCACATCCAACAAGCATTTCGTTTACAAAACTGATGGTGCAATTGATTTGTGGCGATTTTAAGCTATTGAAATTTCAACACGCTGTCAGATACCACACATGACTGTATAATGTATTTAAAGTCGAGTGTGGCGACTCAGTATTAATGAGCATCTGACATTTGTATTTTTCTCAATTCACTCATGGTAACTATCTGCAGACAATGTAATGAGGCCAAATCGAGGTGTTAGGGGCTTTGTATTAATAATTTGTGGAGTCCTTGGATTGGATCATTGCTAACCTGTTAGTGACATTAAAGATAGCTATTTGCAAAGAAAGCCCATCATAATATGAAGATTTTCCTATAGCATTTTGTAAGGTCCTGTAAAATTTGTTACCTAATTCTGCTAAAATGAATTAGCAGGTGGTAAAATGATTGGAAATAAATACCTATCTTTTATGACAAAAGTATTCTTATCGTTAGTGTTTTATTGGTTCAACGTTACAACCTGTATGAATCTGGATTTTAATAAATGGTCGTGATTGCATTCTTCTTTTCACCTTTTTACATTCTTCTGTTCATTCTGGGATTTAAAAAATAGACGGTGAGATGTAACTGAAGCCCAGTCACTAGCTTGGGATGCCTCCGAGTACGGGTGTGGCCGCTATATTCCATCCAATCAACATGAAGCAAATGAGAGCAACTGGTGGCTCCTCAGAACCACGTTTCCACGACAATACGTGTGCCTGCGACTAAACGGGTGCCTGATGGCATTAGTTTCACATGTGCTACTTTCTGTGATTAAACATCTCACATTAACACAATGTCAGGGTTAACTATTGAGAGTGGGTTTCATCTTACCCTGGTCCTCATAATTGGCCATAACATACAGACGTTTTCGCAGTGTAAGAAAGAAAATAGTAAAGCCAAACCATACTAGTTTGCATCGTATCAATGCCTATGTATTATATATCACAGCAATAAAAGTACCATGCAAGTGGCCATCTCCAGAACCACTGCTGCTATGGCCATAAAGCTTGATCGATTTATTTTACTAATTTCATAGCACTCATCACCTGTTATTTCAGCTCAAAATTCACATGGCATTATACCAAATCTTTTTTGTTATGTCATATAAATATATTAATAAGTAACACTACACACGCATGCCATCCACACATTCACACATTCACACACACAAACTCATGACCATTTACACACACAGGGTCATACATATCTGCACATACAAAATTCCTCTATCTTATCATTGAGTAATATTCATATCAAACCTGCAGTAAACAAAACAAAAATTGCAGGTAAACTAAAGTACAAAAGCACTGCAGTAGCATATAAGTGACTAATAACACCACTTAAATGTCAATGATGAGATAAATTTCGTGTTTATCACTGTTGTCATATATTTGCATGTTGGAGTATGTGATCGCCTTAACCTCTGTTCCCTGCAACAAAGAAACGTATATTTACTACACATGTGTAACAGAGGCCTGGACGGTCTCTACGGATCTCAGCATCAGTGTACTATCTTATTATAAGGGTGTGATTAGCTTATTACTCGACGATATGAATTGATGCATAAAAGGTTCGTGATACACTACTAGTTTCGACTTCTGGTAGTCATATTCAGCTTCTTCCAACTTTAAAACTGATAAATTACCATAAAAGAAAAAACAAAAAAACCAACAGAACAAGTTACAAACAAATTTACCACAATAATTGAACATGGCCTTGCGATAAGTTGTATGTATAAAGCCTAAACAACACGTACATATTTTGAAATGCTTTCTTGATGTACAAGTTTCTACTTGATCTAGGGCCAAAACACAAAACCTAGAAAATATAGTCTTTGGGCTTCCCATCCCTTCATTCAATGCCATTTGTTAACATAGTATGTGAGTCATATAGACACTGACATTACCTGGGGATGTTTGCTAATGTCAAATTCCTCTCCGTATCCAATTGCTTTAATTCTAAAGTTTTCTTTGTCAAAATCCGTCACAATAATTTTCTGTAAGGGATCAAAATAAACCAACTAGTACACTAATGGTATTATGAGAATGCACTGTATTATCTTGGAAGCACATGATTGCCAGTGAATTATCTTAATCTGTACACCAACAAGAATACAACATATCTCACACATTGTTAAAAAACGGATACACAGTGACAGATGTAGTATTTGCGCTATATTATCTCAACTATTTAAGTGTAAAATGAGAGAAATACATAGTTTGCCTTGTACACTCCAGCTAATTCATAAGCTTGTGACGTATATGCGATATACATCCTGTATACAGATAAATGATAAAATCAGACCACCAAAAGTGCTCACCCTTGGTATGAAAAATGGCTCAACACTGAAGGCATACAACCACTCATTCATGTATTGGAATAGCAACGACTCGATATCCTCGCCTACAAAGAAAAGCGTGTTTTAGGGAGTGACTGACAGGGGTAACTAACCACAGGGCCTTAAATTTTCTGCAACACAGACCAATAACAACAGTGCACAAAATTACTGTATTTCGCAGATATTACGCGAATTGTACATCGCCTCACTTTGAATGAAATTTATGCTGATAGTGATACACAATAACAATTCCTTTGGCAGTAAAGGCACGTATATGGAGTCAATCATAAATATACGTGGAGCGCATACCTATTTCATTAATGTTGAGAATTCAAAACGACATTTATGTGAGTTGGGTACACCTAACTCAGAGATGCCAACACATATTTGAAGCAATCTGTAGTTTCTGGCCATAAAATGAGTAGTTCGAGGGTCACGTAGTGACCCGAGTTTGCTAGGGGTGTCCGGCATGCCCCCCGGAAAAAATTTTGATTCTGAGATGCAATTTCCTGCATTCTGGGGGTCAAAAATGACAATAATTGAAAAAAAAATATATTTCGATCACAGTGAAATTCGTAGTTTGATACAAACTGGTCGTAGTGGTGCAAAAGGAATAGAAATTCGTATAAAATATGGATAAATCGTAGTGGTTGGCATCTCTGCTAACTCCATACTCTCAATCTAATACTATGCTGATTCTGGATTTAAAAAAAACACTGACTAATTTAGAATTAGTATTATTACCTTCAGCTTCAATTTCTGCAGTAGTCCTCATTTCAACATACTCAATATCAGTCATATAACCAAACATTGCCATACTCGCCTACAAATAAGATAATTATATAGCTCACGATTAGTATTCATGCACAATTGGTGTACATAAGAGATTAAATCTATCATAATTGGCATTTTGCCATTGCATAACAAGTGTAAAATTGTAACCAACCCCTTGATTAAACAATAGGGCCACAAATGAACAGGGATATGCCATTTGTTTCATAAACCCTTATAAAATAGATATATACCTGTTCAAATGCTTCTTTTAAGTCATCACCCCATGAGTGCAATCTGAAAAGGTTGAATACAGGGTTTGAAATTAAGGGCAACAAGCAACAGTTTTGCTGCCTACAATGGTCAGTTTGTTGGTTGACCTTGTTTAGCAACAAATGCTCACGACCAAGAAATTCCTAATAAAATAGTATAAGCACAAAAGGTACATGCAATTTCTGTTGTAACGATGGCCACTTGTTCAGGGTGGTTCTTTTTATAAGGAAGCCAAACGAGCTTCCTTATGGATAGAAGCAATTTCGGATAGTACTGTTTGTAATCCTGATCAGACAGACTTGTTTGTTTTGTCTGTTTGATTATTGTGATAGTGTGATGCTTATTAAATGACAACACAAGGAGCGGTATAGTCCTGTATCCATAGCCGCGGCCTTCCGTCTTCTCTCCCCCCGAGTGTGGCGATTGTGAGATGTACCATTTTCACCCACAGTTGTGCACACTCTTTTCCATTCCCTGAAGGCGTGAAGGTCCATTTATTGATTGCCGGGACGTGGTTGGCTTGGGTGCCTCCATGTCCCGTTGGGGCCACCCTGTTTGCTTTTTCCTGCTTTCTGCAGCCCTTGCGAAATGCTCACTGCTGACCGCATTCTGGAAAACAATCGGGCAACAGCTGTTCCCGCTGACCGGCTCTTGGCAGCTGGGACATCCTCGTCTTAGCGACGCGGATGTGAAGGGGCTGTGGAGAGGGGGTGTTAGCGTTTTCATTTCGGTCTGCTACAATGGACCTTCATCTTGCTTGCTGTCTCATTTGCCCTCCTCCCAGTTCAGTTAAGCTCCTTACGTTCTCTCATCTTTCGGCTCTGACCCCCTTGCCCGGGCTGTTCTTAGTTCTAATCCGCGGAATCTTTCCGCTTTCCTAGTATTCGCGTTGTGCTGCAAACCTCATTTACGCCGGGGTCTGGTATGGCTGGTGTTTTTTCGGAACCTTCTGCGTCGCTCTGCCTCGTGCCCGACGGGCCGACCCTGCGCGCTCAGGGTTTTCCCAGAGGGCTTCATCGGCGACCATCACACAATGAAGGCTTTCAATTTCCTGTTCTAACGATGTCATTCTGAAGACCTGTGGAGACATAATGCAGGAAACATCCGCTTGAACCTGCTCCTCTCCAATAGGTTCACGCCAGAGCCAGTTTCCTTGCAGGCCCAAGGACATGATTCTCTTTGTCTTAAGTCCATTGCCCTCAGAACAAAAAGCTCATGTCTCGCGTCTCCTTTCCTATCCTGTGGCAGCCGTTGGATAGTTCCTGAAAGAGAGGCTGTGCGTCCTTTCTACGATAGTGTGAGCGCAGGATCTTTCGTAGCGTAGGGGGAGATCAAAGCCCTGCTCTCCCTTGCCGGTAGCTCTGGTCGCAGGCCAGGCTTATAGACCTTGATGACCTGCTCCGTCACCTCCTCCTCTTGTGAATCCCTTTCGCAGTCCTCTGTCAACCTGGCGATCAGGCCGGAAATGATAGGCGGTCCTATCTGCTGCGGGCTCCCTATCTGCCCCATCTACCTAAACTCTCGACGAAGCGGATACGTTTCCAATATGGAGCGGGACGCAGGGAATTCTTCTATTGTATCTGGGGCCGTTGATTGGTGTTGTGCTCCGGCTGCGCCACTTGCGTATTTGGGCCAGGCTTTTCATCAGGACCCTCCCCATTACCCTCTTAACCAGTACCTCCTTAACACTAACATACTGCCTCACCTTCGTCTTCATGATTCCTCAAACCTTTTTCACTGCTCAGGTAGCGTTGGAGGAGGCCGTTAGCAGTCCCGCCAGTCCTTCGCCTTAAGCCTTAGTGATGTCTGCTCTCCAGGCGCTCTCTCGCAGGTCTTAGCCAACCTCGATGAGCTCTCCTCAGTGCCCGCCTCTCGCAATCCCGAGCACATCCGGCCATCATACTCCGCCCATTATAAGCCATCTTGTTGATGACTGTGCTGTTTGGGTTGCACGTAGCTAAGGTTACTGCCTCCTTTAGGGTAGACGTCACCAAGCCGGTGGTCCGGTCGATAGTTTGGATGATCGCCTTAGCTAGTACAACTGCAGGACGCCTGCAGACATTACAGGGAAGCTATAACACATCCGGGTGTGCGCCTCCAGAATGGTACAACACGCCCTATACGGGTACGGGAGCTAAAATGCTAAAAGATGGGAAAGAAACCACAATTACTTGGGTTGTTGAAAATGGCGTCAGCATCTTGGAATAGACCACATCCACACTAATCATTGTTCTCTCATCTTCGAGTCTCTGTCGCACTCTTTACCATTTTCCCGGGGGGTTAGCGTACTTTTCCATTGCCATTAAATAAACAAAATTATGGTCGGGGGGGTCATAATTGCCACAGTATTCCGAGTTATCTCGTTTGTGATTCGCAGGATTGGCGCCACCTAACTGAGCGCGGCTTTGTTTTAGAGCAGTTACTGCGAGCAGGTGCGAAGCAGATTGACACCATGTTTGCCCGTGACTATACTTGGCTGTTCGTAACGNTCTGTCTGATCCAGGATTACACTGCTTCCCCAGCCAGAAAAGATGTCGTCACCTCCGACATTTCAAACACACACGCAAATCGCGTCTATTTCAAGATGCGGCCCACAGAACTCTATTTACATGCTGTCATTTGATCAGTCCGCTATCCTTTCACTTAATTTAAACTGCTGTACATATTGACGATGGAGACATTAATGGGTGGCGCAGTCCTAGAATATATAACAATCACATTCGCAGTCAGAAAGACCTTAAATGTAACAACATTTACCAATTCATCATATGACGAGAAGGATCAGACTCGTGGCAATGTCCTCTGAAGCTGAAGTTCCGTCATGGTGGATGCTGGTGGTGCACTTGTACTTTCACGACCAAGTGCAACAAAGCGTTATTGGCAGGGTGTCATTACCCTGTTTACCCACCAGCTTCCCTGTTACACCGGCGCGTGAAATTTTTCCAACTCTCAGTCTCCTACCATTGAATCTCCGCCAAGATTTTGAATCATAATCGTGCGAGAAAGCAAGTAAAAATAAAACAGTTAATGAAGGTGGTTTTCCCTGGTCAAATCAAGACTACATTCAAGACCGTACATATATACGTCCATCAATTTTACTTAATTTCTGAGCCAAAACCTGTTGTCGCAGCGTTGAAAAGACGGCCCACGCTCGCCGTCCATCACTTGCCGGCGGCACCAACATGCTGGGGTCCTCCATGGTCTGGGTGTGTACGGAGGTCCCATCAGCGAACGGCCATGGATGCATCTGAGGATCCATCCATCAGCATGTGCACCTGGTGGCTGGGTGACTGGTGATGAGAGTATAGGTGGGCCAAGTAGCCCGTGGAATTTGTAATAGGGTGACCTTGCGGGGAGGTTGGTAACGGCATACTGTAACGAGTTATTTAGAGGTACTAATTGTCGAGGTGTAAAATAGGGTGAACGAAAAATGATCAAACTCAGGGCGTTTTTGGTGGGATTGTACCACATCCTTCTTGCAGGGGGTGAAGGGATGGTTGCCCAACTTGGTCATATGTGAAACGGAGGTCGACTGTCTGGTTCCTGTGGTCGTCGCTTCAAAAAAGGCTCAGAGCATCATTCATGCCAGTCATCATTGACGCATCTAAACTGGTACTTCTTGGCTCTGGTATAGGGCATTCTACTTCCGGCCTACAGACTCTGAGCATGCAAAAAGGTAGAAGGCGGTCGATTTTGGGTTTTGCCGTTCCAAACATGGGGCATGGGTTGTGGGGTCATCTTCACAGGGACGCCTGATCTGCAGGGCGACAACTGGGGGCTTTCATGCTGCGCAGCCTCGGGCGCTCAGGTTGGACAGTGACGGAATTCTTATTTCTTCATCGCTCTCCGTGCCACATCTTGCTCTGCCGGAGCGCGTGCTCCCTAAGGACGTTCTTCGACGCTGCTCGACGAGTTTTTCAGTGTAATCGTCGGGTCTTGGCGTCGGGCCTATCTTGATCTGATCTCGCACTTCCGCTTGGGGTTTCAACGGTTTTTCCGAGAGCATGCACAAGGGAGCAACAGTTCCGATGGAGGCGACTTCGCTCTTTCCCCCTGGACCACTTTCTGGTCTCACTTCGTACCAACGAGCAAGTCGTCTCCCCATCTGTTTTACGCCACACGATAATACTCGGCTCTCCCAGTAATCTTTCAGCTTCTAGGCTGGTCCCCTCGTTTCGTTGCATTATTTCGGACCAGAACACGATCTCCAGGCGACAGGCTGGCTGGGCAGTTCTTCCAGCCCTTAATATGTATAACATTGGGATTTCCCTTCGTCCTGCCGTTTGACACATGTCTTGGTAGCAATGTCATACGCTTGATTCCATCGCACGTAAGACATAAATCCCTCCGAGTAGAGTTAGGTGTGTTCCCCTGTTTCCCAGCGATCGCAGTCCGAAGGCAACGGTCTATGGGGAGCCGTGGGATGGCGAAACAACAGTCATTTAACAATGGTGAATATCCAGTTGATTATTCCTAGTACAATTGAAGGCATCGTTACCAATATAATACAGCGACAGCCCTCCAATCCACTTTTCTGTTCTCAATAATCTTCGTGGTAAGCAACGGCCACTCAGAAAGGCCCGCAAGGTCGCGCCAACATTCCCCAAACGATACACATGAACCTTTCAACCTGGCCATTTCCCCTGAGGCGTGATATGGGGTTGTTCCGGGTGAAAATGCCTGAGTGCTCTGTAGAACACGTCCGACCAGGTGTTTCTCAAACAGAAACCTGCCCAATCATATTTAGAACAACAACGGAGCACCGTTGGGGAAGCAAATAACCAGAAGTGTGTTGAAGATGATATCAGCCACCCCCCCGGCTGTTCGTCCACTCTTGTTTCCTTGTTGGGTAGGCCATGGGCAACCGAGTGAAGTGGTCCACACACAAGAATATACTGCGTACCCTTCCTTTACTACGCCTACAAGTGGAACGAAAATCGACGTGCGGATCACCAAGCTCAAAAGGTGAGTGTTGAGATAGGGCCAGGGAGCTCTGATCACTCTTTGTGGTGTCTTCTGCTTTAAGAGCAGGGACACCCGTTGGGTGATGTAATTGGTAGATGTCGGTTTCTCCATGTTTTGACCAGTAAGAACCTTTCACAGGGCCCAGGTGCGACCGACTTTGTCTGGGCCGAAATGTCCCATATGGTTTGTGAAGCTCTGTGTAAACAAAGTTGTTTATATTGAGCCGGCGAGGACCGAGTTGGTTGTAGGTGGCAGTTCTTCGGCGCGAAGGATCCATTCATCGATCTATCGTCAGGTTCTTCTCGAATTTTGACAAGCCTCTTTTGGGTAGACGTCTGTCTCTCTTGTTTCGGTTTGGTTGCTTTCCATTATGCTATTTCGTGTGAAATGGCGGGTCTCGTTCTCTCGCTTGCTTGATGTCCTTGCAGAGCTGATCTAAATTCAGGCTGGTCGTCAAATTTCCCATCTCGTCCACTCACGCGCCGCCAAGCCGGGCAGCGACCCCAGCGCATGCCAGCGCGGATGGCCCATCTGAGCCTGGCTATAGGACCCTGACACAGCGATGCCGAAAGCTGTACCCGGGTAAGGTCCCGGATATCCGAGGCGCGAACCGCAGTAACACCTGCGGGTACCACTCTTGGGTATTTGTATGGTTAAGGCTTTCTATAGATTAGGTTACGGTGTAGGAGAGATAGAGCGTAGGGTGTCCCCGGGCGCTTGGAGTAGGAGACGCAGTCATCGCGCTACCTATCCATGGCTGGATCCGTCATGGTGCCTTGTTTCACCTTCCACACCTTGGTGACGCATGGGGATCAGTGGAGGGGCGGATTTCTTCTGAGTACTTTGGCGCGACCATATTGTGATGACAGACGAGGGGATGCTTCGTTGACAATGTATCCAGCCATCCGCGTTTAGCCCGTCGTCTCCCGGGTCCGGTACCGCCTTATCGTGGAAAGGAAAGTCAGGCAGAAGCTTCCAACCTCACCGTAAAGCCTGTCGGCCAAGTTGAGTCGTGGTTGAATGAGGACATAAGTTGAGGCGGATTGTTGTCCGTCGAACACCGCCTTGTGAACTGTGAGAGTAATAGAGGAGTCTCTGAACCGGTCCGATCGCCCACTCAAGAGGCAGAGAAAACGCGTGAGGCGCCAGTACGGCTCCGCTAAGTGATTAGATATATACGGCTAACCAGGCGTACGCCTTCGCGCGCACGTACCATCCAACTTTCCAGGAGTGAAGATTGATATTTCTTCTCCTGCAGGGGGTCCAGGGTCCTGGATCTGCATAAGCATTATCGCATGCTTCCGTCCATTGGTGCTGGTAGAGAACCCCGCTCCTAAGCCATCATTCCGACGCGCCGTCAGTGTGCAAGACAAAAGGCTTCTCAAAAGTCCGGATACGCCCATGATTGGAGCGCTGTACCGTAGGTTGTCTATCAGCCCGTTCAGGGATAGTTCTTGGTGATCTTTGTCCATGATGGGGTGGCTTGAAGGAAGGATGTGGTTCACTTTTCTTCGCCGGCTGTCCGCTTCTTGCGTGGCTGTATCCTGGTGAGCATGGCAAGGAGGTTATACAGTGGTCCAGCTCTTCTTGAGAAGTCTGGATATACTTTTCGGTAGACCACAACCAGGAGTCCTAGTACTTTCGGTCTCAGCTCACCAAGCCAGTCTTGGGTCCTTCTTCAGAAGAGCCCTCTACACCCTCACCATCCAAGATGGGCTCTGAGCGGTGCACCTCAGCAAGACACCACATTCTAACTCTAGGTGACTTCACGCTCCTCTCAAAGAACGGCATTTGGTACTTGGCTTGAGTTTTATGCCCCTTTTTTCAATCTCTGTAAGGACGTTGTTGGCAGGTGCTGACATGGCGTTAAACTTTGCGACTGTAGACCAGTAATCATCGAGGTAGACATGGCATATTCAACCAGTGAGCTCCTCCAGACAACTCTCCATCACATCTTTGACAAGACTGCCGGGCATTTGTGAAGTCCAAATGGGATCCCAAGATTCCACTCATACAGAACCCCAGTGGGAGTTGATGAAAGCTGTCATGTTGCTTGCATTCCTCTCCGGTAACAATCCTTGCGTGGGTACGCCTTCCTTGATCGAGAGTGGAGAACCACTGGTCTCCTCCAAGGCTGTCAAGGAACACCTCTTGTATCCGGGGAGGGTGTCTAACTCGGGAATCGTCTTTGGCTATTCATGCCCGATAAATCTATGCATTAGTCGTAATGATTACAGACTTGTTTGTTTTGTCTGTTTGATTATTGTGATAGTGTGATGCTTATTAAATGACAACACAAGGAGCGGTATAACGTTACGACAAGCGCAAGTATATTCACGGCAAACTGGTGTACATGCTGGCTCGCAACTGCTCGCAAGTAACTGCTCTAAAACAAAGCCCCTCAGTTAGGTGGCGCCATCTGGCGAATACAAACGAGATCAATCGAATACTGTGACAATTATGACCCCCCCCATTTTGTTTTATTTAATGCAATGGGAAAGTAACCTAACCCCCCGGGAAAATGGAAGAGTCCAGAGACTCGAGATGAGAGAACAATGAGTAGTGTGTGATTGTGGTCATTCCACATGCTGACGCCATTTTCACAACCAAGTAATTGTGTTCTTCCCATCTTTTACCATTTTAGCCCCCTGTACCCGTATAGGGGCGTTACATGTTGGTAGGGAGTGGAACTGCTATGGCTTTCTCAAGTTTTCTGCCTGGGTGAATAAGTTTGCTGCCTGCTTTTCTCTGTGGCAAGCAAATGCTTGCTGTCTAGCAAAAAGTTAATTTCTAACCCTAATGTCTACCATAAAACAGCAATGATGGCTAACTTTAGAGGTCTACAAGTTCAACACAAGACAATAATAGTATACGTCTACTTACTGAACATCAGCTGTATGGTCCAAATCTGTAAGCATAGAAATATTGAATAGAATTGACATATACATGATGACAATGTGTGAGCACAGGCCCTTGGAGGCTCAAGTTTCAAGTTTCAAGAAGAGTAAAATAGCGAAGCAGTTGATGATATTAAGACAATTAAGACAATCTTGATGAGTATTAATACAAATACACATAATTTGACTTGATTCAGTATTAATCATGGCATTATTTTATCATATAAAATTTCCACTACTCTACTTCTACTCTACACACTCACTGTCACACTGACTCAGGACTAACGTCCCAGTGCAGTGCCAGTCAGTGTTCGAAATTCACGTCAGCCCGTCGGCCCGCCGCCGACAGTTTCGATGCCGGGCCTACAGCTTCTTGATAAAACAGGCCCGCTGATCCTACAGCTATTTGATCACCGAAAATTCGAAACACTGAGAAACTGTTACCTGTAGAAATCTTTTCTTGCATATTAACTTCCAGGAATATTTATTTGAAAACTAATCCGTGATAAACCGTGACATACATGTAAACAATGCGTTCGCCCACTGCATATTCGCGCAGCCTGATTGTAAATGAAAGAGCGATAGCCTGGAACCAGCCTTCGAAATTAGTGCCGACCCGGAGGCCCGAGGCCACCAAGTTTTTGCTTCGGCCACCATCTCGGCGAAACTTCCGGTCCTCCTGAACTGCACTTTTTCCCCTCATATTACGCTGAAATACTACGGTTATCGCAACGGCTGTTTAGACAGACTTGTAAACGGGAGGGCATTCTAATACGCTCCGTTCCTGAGCGTAGACGGGGTATCCAAAACATCTAGAGCCGAGGGCATGAACTCCCTCAGCGCATGATTCGCCACACAAACAAAACCTCGTGACAGTCTAAGAAATCGATTGCGGCATGACCCCAGTGTTTTTATGACCGCATAACAATTAGTTCATATATCGCAGGGGTTATCGTGGGGAGTGAGGGCACGACCAATGATACCTGACCGCACGTAATCAAAGCTGTTAACTGAATTTGTCACTTTTCTTTACGTAGAAAGTGGACTATTTTTATTCAGTTAGATATCTAGAAGCAATGTAAACTGTATCAAAATTCTATAGGCACTTGTAACTTTGCGGATGTGCGGCAGCATTGATCTATGCATGGGGGTACCGTGGACTGGGGAGGAGAAAAACGAAAGTAAAACCTTTCCCACAAGCTCCCCCGACATTCCTAGAGCTTGAGATATATTGTTTGACCAACTCTAAGTTACATGTTTGCTGTTAATGCCAATGGTTATTTTTGTATACTATTTTGTTACTCACTGCTAGTAAATAAGCGGACCACCAACTTTTGTGCAGGACCACCAACTTTCTGAAGTTGGTGGTCCTGCTGTCCACTAGATTTTCAGACAAAATTCGAACCCTGCCTGGAACCCTGTTCCAAGCTGCGCACCACAGTGTAGTAAACTAAAGGGCAAGTTGCCAGTCGAGTGCGGAATTAGCTGCGAGTAACATGAAATCGTTTCTCATTGGTGGGTGACCGTGGGTCTGGTCTGAGCAAGTGTCTCAGATTTCGACCAATCGACATGACTGTAAGATCGACACATGGTTAGACTGGTGTAGGTATGACGGCTCCACTCGCAATGTTATGAGACGCTACTACGTTGCTAGATACAATAATGTAACCCAACAAGAGTAGGGTTACAACGCGTACTATAGTTTTCTGTGGAGGCGCCCTGAGTGATTCACTCAGGGCGGTTTTATGGTTAGTTTTTCGAGACTACAACTTCCAAACTGGGTTTATTCTAAACACGAACCTTTCTCCGCTATCCGGGGACTTACTATGTATCACAATACTCTGTATTAAACTAATATAACCTGTTACAAAAATTCGAAGTGACGAGCGGCGAATATACAGAGCGCCATTTCTGTTGACCTGTGATGTACTTCGGTTTGAAGAGCGGATTCACCGAACAATCGGAGGGCGCTGCGTTTGCCGATCGCTATCCGCATTGAAAATGCGTACGTCACAAGTCAACAGAAATGGCGCTCAGTATATTCGCCGCTCGTCACTTCGAATTTTTGTAACAGGTTATATTAGTTTAATACAGAGTATTGTGATACATAGTAAGTTCCAAGATAGCGGAGAAAGGTTCGTGTTGAGAATAAACCCAGTTTGGAAGTTGTAGTCTCGAAAAACGAACGAAAATCTCAGGGCGCCTCCACAGAAAACTATA